CTTACCATGTGTAAACTCTGGTCCATGATCATCTCCTACATGTACGTCTGGTCTTACCATGTGTAAACTGTGGTCCATGATCATCTCCTACATGTACGTCTGGTCTTACCATGTGTAAACTCTGGTCCATGATCATCTCCTACATGTACGTCTGGTCTTACCATGTGTAAACTCTGGTCCATGATCATCTACATGTACGTCTGGTCTTACCATGTGTAAACTCTGGTCCATGGTCATTTCCTACATGTACGTCTGGTCTTACCATGTGTAAACTCTAGTCCATGGTCATTTCCTACATGTACGTCTGGTCTTACCATGTGTAAACTCTGGTCCATGATCATCTCCTACATGTACGTCTGGTCTTACCATGTGTAAACTCTGGTCCATAGTCATCTCCTACATGTACGTCTGGTCTTACCATGTGTAAACTCTGGTCCATGATCATTTCCTACATGTACGTCTGGTCTTACCATGTGTAAACTCTGGTCCATGGTCATTTCCTACATGTACGTCTGGTCTTACCATGTGTAAACTCTGGTCCATGGTCATTTCCTACATGTACGTCTGGTCTTACCATGTGTAAACTCTGGTCCATGGTCATCTCCTACATGTACGTCTGGTCTTACCATGTGTAAACTCAGGTCCATGGTCATTTCCTACATGTACGTCTGGTCTTACCATGTGTAAACTCAGGTCCATGGTCATTTCCTACATGTACGTCTGGTCTTACCATGTGTAAACTCAGGTCCATGGTCATCTCCTACATGTACGTCTGGTCTTACCATGTGTAAACTCAGGTCCATGGTCATTTCCTACATGTACGTCTGGTCTTACCATGTGTAAACTCTGGTCCATGATCATTTCCTACATGTACGTCTGGTCTTACCATGTGTAAACTCAGGTCCATGGTCATTTCCTACACGTACGTCTGGTCTTACCATGTGTAAACTCTGGTCCATGGTCATCTCCTACATGTACGTCTGGTCTTACCATGTGTAAACTCTGGTCCATGATCATCTCCTACATGTACGTCTGGTCTTACCATGTGTAAACTCTGGTCCATGATCATTTCCTACATGTACGTCTGGTCTTACCATGTGTAAACTCAGGTCCATGATCATTTCCTACATGTACGTCTGGTCTTACCATGTGTAAACTCTGGTCCATGATCATTTCCTACATGTACGTCTGGTCTTACCATGTGTAAACTCAGGTCCATGGTCATTTCCTACACGTACGTCTGGTCTTACCATGTGTAAACTCTGGTCCATGGTCATCTCCTACATGTACGTCTGGTCTTACCATGTGTAAACTCTGGTCCATGATCATCTCCTACATGTACGTCTGGTCTTACCATGTGTAAACTCTGGTCCATGGTCATCTCCTACATGTACGTCTGGTCTTACCATGTGTAAACTCTGGTCCATGGTCATCTCCTACATGTACGTCTGGGTCTGATCCTAGTGGCTGCAGTTTCCTCGGTTGAATCCCCTCCGACCAATCAGAGAGCGGGGGAGGCGGGTGTTGTAGGTCGGTGTCGGTGACTTCAGGAGTTTGCGCCAAATTTTCTGGTTATAGTTTGGCAGCGAACGTGATAGTAAAATAATTCGTTCTGGTCCGACTCCAAAAATCAATTAAAGTAAGCCGAAGCAAGAGGAATGTTCAGCAAGTTTCATTGCTGGCTCCGTTAGTGGCAAAGGAGATGGCTAAAGCTAGGCTAAATTCCAAAGCTAGGCTACATGCTAAATGCCTCACTCACTCTGGTGCATTACATACGTCATGGAAAACTAAGATCCAATTGTTTCAATCTGCAAAAGGAGTTAAGTTAGTGATTTACCATCAGCTTTATTTAAATGTAATGTAAAAGTGCAAAAATGTTTGAATATTAAAATTAAAACAATGTGTTGAAAGGCTAATGCTAACTGGTAGCAAGTTAACAGTATGTTGCTATGGTTACTTGTGCTTCTTGCTCTTCTGTACTTACTCCATTTTAAAATGAAAAGATAATTTCATAAAAGAATGACAGAAATAAACTACATAAAGAAACAGAAAGTCACAGAGTTATGAAGATCAAAAATGTAAATGAGCCGAGTAATTACACTTCACTTCCAAAACCAAAAGGTGTCAAATTGACTGCTCCGGGAGTTAGAGAACTGCTAACGAGAACTAGCCGAGGAGGTGCAATTAGCAACTAGCTGCACAATGTCAATTTGATTTCGTAATATCTTAAGGCTACGTAACTGCAACTACATTTCCGCACACCAATCTCAGTTTAGCAGCTAACAAACTTTCCCTTCTTCCAACTTTCAATTGCCAAGTTACTAACAAAATTTACCACAAATGACTAAAGGGAAAAAAGAAAAGTTGCCTCCACAGCTGTGCCACATAAAAACAACACGCTCTGTTGTCGGCAGCAGGATAAGAGCGAGAAGGAGGCGTCTGATCGTTGTAATCTACATGTGGCTATACTCATTTGAGCGTCACACGTGCGGTCTGCTAGCAAGGCGCGGCGGGCTGGGTTACCATCGCAATCAGTCCCCGCCATGCAGCCCGTAGAGCAGCGCTGTAATTAAACAGAGCCATCCCCTGCACCAACCACGAACTTTAATTCTGCTGTAATTTAGCCCAATGCGGCGAAGAGCTTGGCGGGGTGGTGGGGGGGCGGCGGGGGTCTAAGGCGGACCGACCACTGAGCCCGGGATGATTAGCGGAGGTGTAGCACGAGCTCACGGCGAAACTCAAGCACCCTGCCCGCCTTCTCCGTCTCTCCGCTCGTCTCTGGTTGTAACGTTGGGGGCGGTTGTCGGCGTGGAAACCTGACCTGAGCAGGCAAAACGTCCCCCCCCCCCCCCGATGCGCGCCCCTGCTCTCCGCCGGCAGCTGCTGGCTCGGCTGGTGGTGGGAAACTTAGAGGGGAGGAAATTGAAATGGGAACAGGAAGAAGGAGCAAAGGCGGCGTGATTGATTTGCTTCATTTGGAATCGATTGGGGTTGTGATTGCTGTCTGCAGAGGTTCAAACAAAAAGCCAAGAAGTTGAAGTGAATCGAGTTGTGCTGCTGTTGTGGCGGGAAGTCGGATTCAAGAAGTCGTAATGTGTGGGGAAAGTAAAACACAGTGTCGGACTAGATTATTAGTTTCTCTGGGATTATCTGAACTTGGCCTGAGAGACTATCTTTGGACAAGGTTAACCATAAACTTGACTTTGACCACTACAATAAGAAGACGGGTATTTCAACATTTTATTATTATTATCTCCACTCAGCCTCAGACTTGGGTATCTTTGGACAAGGTTAAAGATAAAAATTGACTTTTTTTGGTTAGCAGTAGTATCAAGTAGAGTCAATAAGAAGTATATGAAATTCAGAGATCTCCAACCTCAGCTCGGTAGCCACCTGTAGCTCGCCACCCCCTTCCAGGTAGCTCGCCGAAGGATTTATAAATGAACACATGAAATATTATACTTCATATTTCAGATTCATTTTCATTATTTATTATACTAAATGCACTTACTTTGTCACTAACAAATGTGCGATGATGAATAATGACATTTTTCCAGGGACGCTTTAAGGAGTAGCTCTCTGCCTTTATCGTCCCGGGAAAGTAGCTCTCTGGGTGAAAAACATTGGACACACCTGATGTAATGTATACCAAAAGATGAATAGGTGTTTTCCCATTTTCTACTTTTTGGCGAGACTTTTCACTGCTCCAGTCCTGTACGCCCCAGTCAAATATCACACACCCATTTATTTGACCCAGTTCTTTTAATAACAATAATATATCAGTTTTACAAATAACACTTTGGTATTATTCAATCTATCCTTACACGGTGGAGGTGGACTATACTGAAGTCACAGCTGCCCTGGGTCAGACTGATAGAGACGGGTATGACTCAGGTTGGCAGCCTTGTCTCTGATGTGCCGCTGATACACCTGGTGTTCCCAGACGTCTCCCATCCCAGAGCGGACGAGGCTCTGCCCTGCTTTGTTCATGAGATCAGATCACAATGGTTCAAAGTCATCACAATATTTTCAACCATAAAACAAATTACCAAACGATTGATGTCACACGTCGCAGTAGAATTAGTTTGAATGTATTTATTTTGTTTTTTTAATGATATTTAATACATTCATTGACTGTGTTGCAACCAAAACACAACAGAAAATAAAATAAAATATAAATAAATAAATATAAATATATATTACACACTGATATCAAACTTAAAATGCATATTAGCGAGAACAATATATTTGTTTTCATTTATTCTATTAAATCATTATTATTTTATGCATGTATTTGTGTGTTTGACAGTGCAGAGGCAGCGTTATTTTTGTGAGGTATATAACATTTAGGACCCTTTTTTTCATCTCTCTACATTCTTTTTTAATGATCCATTTGAGAAAGAAAAGCAAAATGTCAAAACCACCAAAAGACGAAGCAACTTTCAAAGATTGAATTAATATGATTTAATGATTTCACATTTTAAGGTAGTTTTAAATGTTGATAATGTGTTGATCAACTTCAGAAGGTCATTAAGATAATTCCACGTTTTTACTCCAAAAGACAAGATTATAAAAACCATTGAGTTGTCTGATCCCAGTTCCTCGATCATTTCTGAACAACAAAAGATGCCATTTTTATTTAAACATTTGTTGCGCTTAAAAAAGTGAACATTGAAAACTGGACCGAGCCTGATTTCTGTTGTTTATAATCTGCCCTTTTCCCATGAACACAGTAATACCCCCAATACCTGACCACATTCCATTTACACAATGTTTTGGTCATATTTGTTTATTTCTTCCACTTTATCAACATTAAATCAACACTTTTCAGATTTAACCCAAGAATCAATGAACCCTGGATGAACACAAAAACACCTCCATTTGCATTTTCTTGTTCTCTCCAATCCTTTCTCAAACTCGTCAATTCACCGCCATTCCAAAAAAAAAACAACACTTTTCCACATTTAGAGCTCTTTTAAAACGCTTCTGACTTTCATGTCCGCCACCCCCCCCCCCCTCCACCCCCACCCCCACCACCACCACCCACACCCCCACCCCCACCACCACCACCACCACCACCCCCCCACCACCCACACCCCCACCCCCACCACCACCACCCCCCCCCCCCACCACCACCACCACCACCACCCCCACCCCCCCACCCCCACCCCCACCACCACCACCCACCCACCCCCACCCCCACCACCACCCCCCCCCCCCCCACCACCCCACCCCCACCCCCACCACCACCACCACCACCCCCACCACCCCCACCCCCACCACCACCCCCCCCCCCCCCCCACCCCCACCACCCACCCCCCCACCCCACCACCACCACCACCACCACCCCCACCACCACCACCACCACCACCCCACCACCCCCCCCCCACCCCCACCACCACCCCCACCCCCTCCACACCCCCTCCCCCACACCCCCCCACACCCCCACCCCCACCACCCCCACCACCACCCCCACCACCACCCCCCACCCCCACCCCCTCCACACCCCCTCCCCCCACCCACACCCCCACCCCCCCCCCCACCCCCCCACCCCCACCACACCCCCACCCCCACCACCACCCCCCCCCCCCCACCCCTCCGTGTGCTCCGGTGTCAGCCTTGTGCATACAAACCACCAAAGCCTTTTCATTTCCGAGCGCATGTGACACTCGGGAGCTGTTTGCTACCGACGCTATTGTCTGAGAAAAAAAGATTTATTCTGTGCTGACTTCCACAACTGTAGTGAGCGGGAGGGTGGGGGTGAGGGTGGGGGTGGGGGTGGAGGAGGGTGGGTGAGGGTGCGGGGAGGGAGCAGTCTCATAAGCCTCAGCGGGGAGCACCGAGCCTCGTGCTCCAGGACACAAAATGCCTCCGATATTGAAGCCGGGATGTCACCGCGCACATGATGGAGAGGATGTTGTTTTGTTCTTTGGAGATAAGTCGCGGAATAAGAAATCTCGGAGTTGAAACTACGGCGACAGAAACTGGTGTCAATATCTCTGCATAGTTTACGAGTGTGAGACGTGCTGTTGTTCTGCTGCTTCTGAAACCACTCTGTGCTGATTGTGAGAAGGTGGAATTATTGTTTTTAAGTTTGAGCCTGTTCTGAAATGTTTTAATACGTTAATATGTGTAATGTGTTTTTATATATGTGTTCAAACTAGTTTAGAATATTGGTTTTATATCCTTAACAAATATAATTGTAATTCTAGCATCATCATGTTTTGCGTATAATGACGATAAAAGTAAAATGTTAAAATAGTTTATAATTTAGTCCTTTACAGTGTCTCGTGTTCCAGACTTTCCATCGGAGAGTTACTTTGATGCCAAGAGTTACTTTGATCCAAGAGTTACTTTGATGCCAAGGGTTTTTGTTGTTCATTTGCACAAGTTTAAAAAGATGGACTTCTTCTGATGTCTTCTGTGCAGAGTTCTGGTGTGTTTGGGTTTTTCAACTTTTGTCTAAAATAAACGATAAAACATAGTATTAATAATTTTACACAGATGTGTTTTAGAAAATATCAGTAAAATAACTAGTTGTACATATTTTAATAAATTCAAGTTTTAATGTGTTTTTGTTTTTTTTAAGCATTGTGAAAGGCACAGCACTGGGGAGAGGTGTGAGTTTGTTAACACACACAGACACACACACACACAGACACACACACACACACACACACACACACACACACCCACACACACAGACACACACACACACACACACAGACACACACACACACACCCACACACACAGACACACACACCCACACACACACACACAGATAGACAGACACACACACATACACAAATACACACACACACACACAGATAGACAGACACACACACATACAGACACACACACCCACACAAAGACAGACAGCCACACACACAAATACACACATACACACACACGCACACATACACACAAACAGACACACACACACAAACAGACACACGCATATGCACACACAGACACAAACACACACAGATACAAACACACACACAGACACAAACACACACACAGACACACACACACACACACAGCCACAGACACACACACACACAGCCACACACAGACACACACACACACAGACACACACAGACACACACAGACACACACAGACACACACACACAGACACACAGCCACACACAGACACACACACACACAGCCACACACAGACACACACACACACACATACACACACACAGCCACAGACACACACAGCCACACACAGACACACACACACACAGACACACACACACACACAGACACATACACACACACACAGACACACACAGACACACACACACAGGTCATATGAGCTGCCAATCAAGGCTCGACTCCCAAACCGCAGATTGAGGACCCGCTCTAGACAAACTTCTCTGATCCGCCACAGATTGCACTTGGGCTCAGTCTCTTCAAACACACAATCCTTTGTTAAGTTTCTGTAATTGAAATTTGGGGCGACAGTAGCTCAGTTGGTAGAGCACTGGCCTTTGAGCCTGAAGTGGGTTCAAGGGACCTTCCACCGACTCCCACTGATGACTGCTGTCGTTGTGTCCTTGGGCAAGACACTTAACCCTGCATTTCCTGAAGCCCCCGCTGAAAAATCAAGGCTTTATTGTCACTGACAGAGCAGCCGTCCTCCTGTGGACTCAGCACCTGCAGAGGATCAGTGAGGGGCTGGTGCTGAGTGAACTGGGTGCAGCTCTGACTGCCACCCCCCTGACCCAGAAATGGATTAAGGGGAAGAAGATGGATGGATGGAGTTGGATCCATGTTGCTTACTAACTTTACTGTGCATCATTAAAAAAATATCTGTGCGATAAAAGTAGATCTGGGGACTCCGACCTTTGTTTCCTTTGAAGACTTTACTTTATACACAACAAAAATGGCCGAAAGCTACTTCTTCTTCAAAGAAATAAGAGACATTCTGGAAAATCTATATCATTGTTTATCATCGGATTATTTTAGGGACTTGGAATTAAAATTAAGGGATCCTTTATTAGTCCCACAGCGGGGAAATGTCAGTGTTGCATCACAAGTTAGAGAACAGTAGGAATGAGGAGCACACAGATAAGTGAACATTAACTCTATACTATATATACTAATATATACTCTATACTAATTTAAATAAAACATCTCTAACTCTAGCCTCAAAAAACAAGTGTAACATCTCTATCTTGAACATAGTAATAATAATAAACTAGTCTAGCAATTGTATTCTTTGTAAACAATCCAGTTTTCCATTTCATTCCTAAAGTTAAACACACACACTTGAAATATTCAGGAAGTATTGTACATTTCTAAATCCTTTGGGGAGAGACTTAGGTTTATGACACTGGTGTGAGCAAAAGGTTCCTGGTCCACGAGAGTTTCAGTCTGGCACTTTCCCCTCATTCCTAAGAACCACAATAAGAACGAGAACTGAAAAAGTAACAGAAATAGGCTCCTGTACAGCGTGAAAAAATCTATACCCACATCTGACTGATCCCTACAGGCAAAGTGGGTTAAGTGTCTTGCCCAAGGACACAACAACAGCAGTGGAGTCGGTAGAGAAGGTCTCGCAGTGGGCTCAAACCTATGACGTTCAGGCGCAAAGGCCAATGCTCTACCAACTGAGCTACTGTCGTCCCAGGATGTCATGGTTTCCAAGGTGACCACTGACATAACAATTATAATAGTTAAAAAAAGTAACTCTCTGTCGGGAACAAAGGTTCGAGTCCCCAGATCTGCTTCGAAGATTAGATAAGATAAGATATAACTTTATTGATCTCACACTGGAGAAATGTACATGTCAAAATTTCCCTGGGTGGAGCAGGACAGGTCACAGCAGCAGAGGTGGAGTAGCCTCTGGGTGGAGCAGGACAGGTCACAGCAGCAGAGGTGGAGTAGCCTCTGGGTGGAGCAGGACAGGTCACAGCAGCAGAGGTGGAGTAGCCTCTGGGTGGAGCAGGACGGGTCACAGCAGCAGAGGTGGAGTAGCCTCTGGGTGGAGCAGGATGGGTCACAGCAGCAGAGGTGGAGTAGCCTCTGGGTGGAGCAACAAAAAACATCAAAATTAAAATGTTGATGTTTGTTTGGTTTTTTTTAAGCAGTGGCACAGCACTGGGGAGAGGTATGAGTTTGTCAACACACACAGACAGAGACGCACACGCACACACACACACACGCACACACACACACACGCACACACACACACACGCACACACACACACACGCACACACACACACGCACACACACACACACACACACACACACACACACACACACACAACATTTAGCACAGATAGTCACTCAGATTGTGCAGAAGACAGAGGTGTGCAAACAAACAAACAGTCTCTGCAGCAGTAGCTCAGCATCTACAGCACAAACACTGTATCGTGGCGGAGGATTTGGGCCCAAACAAAGCTCATGTCTGGAAACAACACGGCGTCACGTGGGTGTCACGTGGGCGTCACGTGGGCGTCACGTGGGCGTCACGTGGGCGTCACGTGGGCGTCGGCGCGTCCCTGTTTGAGGCCTTTGATTTATCGAGCCTCGTAACCTTGACCAATTACCTGCTAACGCACGCTGGCTGCTGCGCCCACTGCGAAGGAGAACCCCCACGATCCTCGGAACAACACTTTTGCTGCTTACCTCGCACAAAAAGTAAATCCTAATCATTAATAGGCCGACCTTGTTTCTCTGTTTTTTTGGTTACAGCGTTTGTAATTCTTCAGCGTCGGACCCCTGCACGTGTGTAAAGCCAACCCCGTTTGCACTTCCAAATGATCGGTGGTCCACAAGAAGAAGCTACTTTGTTTTATACTATTTTAGCTTAATCATATTTCTACCCACAAGAGGCCGGCGTGATGAGACCTACAGTTATCAGAGAAATCACTAGGTTTGAATTGTACCATATTTTTACATAAGGCAGGAATCTCCAGGGTAAATATAATCAATAAATCATGAGCAGTGAAGATGCGTATCACAAATGGGGCTTTGCAACTTACTGCAGCTGAATGGACGGGGTCAGAGACGGGGTCAGAGACGGGGTCAGAGACGGGGTCAGAGACGGGGTCAGAGACGGGGTCAGAGACAGGGTCAGAGACGGGGTCAGAGACGGGGTCAGAGACGGGGTCAGAGACGGGGTCAGAGACGGGGTCAGAGACGGGGTCAGAGACGGGGTCAGAGACGGGGTCAGAGATTTGCATTTTTATTCTTTTTAAGCGTTGCGTGTACGACGGGGCCTTGTTTGTTTTTTCTCAGTGTTGTGTGTTGTTTGTGTTGCCGGGTGTAATTGACATCTGAAAGTTGCAAAGTGGGAAAGACAATGGATGAGATGCTCAACCGTTATGAATTATTGGGTGTGCAGTGCCCTCTGGTGTTCAGGAGAAGAAGTGGTTTTGAAGGATGTGGCTCAACAGTCGACTGCAGCTTTTCCAGAAAAACACTGAATTTCATCACTTAGAAAACGTTGTTATATTTCAGGCGTTATGGCGCCGGCTGCTGACGTGGAACTAAATAAAAGGTTTATTTATAGATCTTTTTGTATATGTGTGGCTTCCATCAACGTAAAATGTTTAGTACCTGAAAATCTTTTGTATTATTATTGGCTTCATCTTCATCAAATCCAACAAATGCTCAGCGGACCTGTCTATTTGCTGAAACCTTTCTGTACGAGGCCGTTGCTAAGGTTTTTGTGAATAATTATATAATAATTATATACTTCTACAGTAATAATGTATGCCATGTATGCTAATTAAAACAATAATACATGTATTTAGCATTAGCATTTCAGGACAATCCTTAGAAACACCATAGAGACACAGGTACGTATAGGTACAGAGAGGAGCACAGGTACGTATAGGTACAGAGACATAGGTACATATAGGTACAGAGAGGAGCACAGGTACATATAGGTACAGAGAGGAGCACAGGTACATATAGATACAGAGAGGAGCACAGGTACATATAGATACAGAGAGGAGCACAGGTACATATAGGTACAGAGAGGAGCACAGGTACATATAGGTACAGAGAGGAGCACAGGTACATATAGACACAGAGACACAGGTACATATAGACACAGAGACACAGGTACATATAGACACAGGTACATATAGACACACAGAGACACAGGTACATATAGACACACAGAGACACAGGTACATATAGACACACAGAGACACAGGTACATATAGACACAGAGACAGGTACATATAGACACACAGAGACACAGGTACATATAGACACACAGAGACACAGGTACATATAGACACACAGAGACACAGGTACATATAGACACACAGAGACACAGGTACATATAGACACAGAGACACAGGTACATATAGACACACAGAGACACAGGTACATATAGACACAGAGACACAGGTACATATAGACACACAGAGACACAGGTACATATAGACACAGAGACACAGGTACATAGAGACACAGGTACATATAGACACACAGAGACACAGGTACATAGAGACACAGGTACATATAGACACAGAGACACAGGTACATATAGACACACAGAGACACAGGTACATATAGACACAGAGATATAGGTACAGAGAGGAGCACAGGTACAGACACAGGTGCGGCGCAGCAAATCAACAGGGAACAGGAAGTCAAACTGAAACCAAATGGCTAGAGTCAATATAAAAGTGCTAAATAACTAAAAATCCACATCATGACATAAAAAGTTCGTCTGGATGAGTTGCAAATGTGAGAGGGAACGTTTAAAAATTAAGAAACCATTTGATAATTATAATAATTTCTTTCTCTCTCTCAACAATTTGCATGTTTTAAAATCATATGACTGGAAGAAAAACTGAAGAAAAAGGCCGACACAGCGGTTAGAGCTTGCATTTCACAGCAAGGTCCTGGGTTTGATTCTGTGTGGAGTTTGCATGTTCTTTCTGTGTCTGCGGAAGTTTCCTCCGGTTGCTCCGGTTAGGCCACTACCACTAATAAACAATGGGTATGAATGAGTGAACGGATGGTGTTGTACTGTGTGTGTGGATGGAAAAAAATATCTGAACTCTGAACATTCTGGTGTCCTTGGTCTGTAAAACGCGCCATATAAATAAACATTACTTACTTACTAAAAGCTCGTTGATGGAGTCTCTCGCAGAAGACGGGCTCTTGGACGCTGCAGACGGCTCTCTGGAGGTGAAGGGGTTAACGGTCAGGTGGCAGAGCTGCAGCTGCTGCCTGCTGCGCCCCGTCCTATAATCAATTCTCACATTTCAGGATAAAATGATGAGAAGCCGAGCGTTCAAAGCGAGATAGATGAGAGAGAGTTGTGGCAAACACGCAGATCGATAATATTCATAGCCTCCAGGAGAAAAGCCGTTAAGTAAAAGCTTTTTAGTCAATGGGCGAGAATGAGGATGCTCCAAAAGTCAGCCGTGCGACGCTGCACGCTCTGGGGAAGACCGCAGATGGATGTTTCAGAGACGATGAAGACGACGGGTTTAGTTTAGTTTATTTGTTTTATTTAT